GACGGGCCTGGACATGTACTGGCTTAAGCAGGGGGACACGTCTGGCACTGCAGGATTTGAGTCCCTGGCGGCGTAGTGTGTTACTGATGGTAGCCTTTGTTACTTTGGTCCCAGCTCTCTGCAGGTAATTGACTAGGTTCTTGTGATCATTTTGACCCCACAGGGTGAAATCTTGCGTGGAGCCCCAGATCGAGGGAGATTATCAGTGGTCTTGTATGTCTTCCATTTTATAATAATTGCTCCCACAGTTGATTTCTTCACACCAAGCTGCTTACCTATTGCAGATTCAGTCTTCCCAGCCTGGTGCAGGTCTACAATTTTGTTTCTGGTGTCCTTTGACAGCTCTTTGGTCTTGGCCATAGTGGAGTTTGGAGTGTGACTGTTTGAGGTTGTGGACAGGTGTCTTTTATACTGATAACAAGTTCAAACAGGTGCCATTAATACAGTTAACGAATGGAGGACAGAGGAGGCTCTTAAAGAAGAAGTTACAGGTCTGTGAGAGCCAGAAATCTTGTTTGTTTGTAGGTGACCAAATACTTATTTTACCGAGGAATTTACCAATTAATTCATTAAAAATCCTACAATGTGATTTCCTGGATTCTTTCCCCCCATTCTGTCTCTCATAGTTGAAGTGTACCTAGGATGAAAATTACAGGCCTCTCATCTTTTTAAGTGGGAGAACTTGCACAATTGGTGGCTGACTAAATACTTTTTTGCCCCACTGTACTTGCACACTGGGGGTGTCGGGTTGCATGTTCTATAACTATAACATCACTTTATAACTGTGATTGGTTATAATATATATTATTAATTATGATTATGCATTTTCAAACAGTTTTAAGGAGTTACAAACAATTCTCCATTTATTCCTCTCATAGTAGAACAAGTCTATGAAATAGTATATTAGTCAATAATGGGAAACAAACATTGACAACCTCTTAAAATATTTGAATCTGTAGGTCAAATTCTACGACTGTAGAAAATAAACAATTCACAAAAAACTCATAGCATTTCACAAAAACAATCATTTCTGAAAAAGGAATTTGTGCATGGAGGAGTTTCTTCTTGGTCTCAAACAGTGCCAAGGGGTTGTGTTAACAGTGATCCCTGTGCAGAGTGTATTTCAAGGCCACTCACCCCCCCAAAGTCAGTGTGGCCCTGCAGAAGACCCTCAGTGACCTCTGACCCCTGACTCTGGTATCCGTGATCTGAATGGTCTGTCAGTGGAACAGAAAGCAGCAGCAAGTTTGACTTTTCCACTGCATGAATGCTCCACAACACACTTGTACACGTTTTCATTTCACATATTTGGTTGGTATTTTGGGAGCAAAGGAAATGTACTTATTGTTCCTCGAACAACTCTGATGTAAGTGGCCAATTGTTGGAAATATGGGCTTTAATGATGTCTGCCATCACTCAAACATATTATTGGAATATTCAACAGCAAAGTATTTTCTGATGCAACGTAACTGTGCAGTGATACTGTTGGCGGGTGTAGAAAGAAAATAGTTCCTACATGAAATGGCACAGTCTGACGGATTATCTTTACTAATCAGGTCATGATTTCTAGAAGAAGACATTTATATACAATATATTAATGAGAAGCAGACAACACTGATATCTCCAACACCCACTCCTCCATAATAATCAACTCTAATAAATAGCACTACAAATAAGGGGAAAGATATGTATTTTTGATATTGGGGTGAACCGTCCCTTTATGCTTGTGATTGAATTTGCCCCAAAAATCCCCTATCATTATCAATTTGGGTGTCAGTTGCCTAGCGACAGTGTTCTCACTGTTTACCATTTTAAAAATCATATGTGTCTTTTACTTGAATTTCCAAATAAATACAACCTTAAATATTTCATTTGAAGGCAGTCTGTGATCTGAAGAGTGCTGCTGGCTGCCTGCACATCTACACACATCTATACACATACTGTATATACCACCTTATTCACATGATGGACTCACATTTGAAGTAAATACAACAACTAGAGGTTATTCTACTTCATTTTCAGTATGTATTTATGTGTATAGAAGGTTTTTACTCAGACTTTTTATAAGTAAAAAGGTGTGGGCTATCTAACACATTATGTGCCAAACCATTTATTGGCTGCACAGTACCTCATCTCGCCTTCATCCTCAAGTTGCCAGAAAGTCAGTTGAGACTTCAGGAAGTAAATGCTCGCCAGCCAAGAAAAAGTCTGGCAGACATCTTGTAAAAACAAAATGTTTTAGTTTGTACAGTTAAAAAAAAATGGTGTATGTATGGGTCAGTTATTGTGTGTAGTTTCCTTGGAAACAGATGTTTCCACTTGTTTTCCAGCTAGGGCTAGGCAATACGGAGAAATTCAATCATCCCAATAGAATATAAGTTATTATTGGTCAAAAAGACCAATAATAACTTCGATATGGCTGCAATATTGTAAAGTTGATCATTGGCGCTTTCAAAAAAGAATTACTGAATGTGACTTTCATAAATAATTATCAGTAATATGGATATTATCAATATTTGGGTAATGGTAAATAATAGGACAGTCTGGGAAGTTCAGGACATTATATGATTTTATTACAGCCTTCAAAGCAGGAAAAGACAACCCCAAAATGTAGATTAATCGCAGGAGATATAATATTTTTAAATAATAAGAGTGTAAACTTATTTTCTAACTGTCGACAAGTAAACTTAAAAGCATAATACCTCCTAAACAACATCTTTTAGAGCGATTCCGCCTCTTTCTCACTTTATCCAACTGGTTTCATTTGATCAACATCCCCCCCCCCCCCTTGTGTGGATGTAAACTGCATTTAAAGCAGAGCCTCAGCCCGAGGAGATGACAAGTGCACATTTTAAGTGGCAAACAACTGGTGGGATCCAGGCTACAATCTAAATGAGAATTTCAGAGTGGGAAGAATAATGAGACAGTTTACTTTTATTGCATCCTCAATGAGAAAAGTATTGACCCACCTTGTGTTCCTGTGGCGTTGTATCTGCAGCACAATAACAGGACGGCGGCAAATAGCACGCTCATCTGGAGGGGGAAAAAAGGAAAGCAATTTACTGACTGAAAATGTGAACCGTTCTTTCCTCTCAAATCATTAAGGTGAAGTGCAGTTGTAATTGCTGTTTAAGGAAAATAATCTGTACACCCAGCAGCTCACAATATTTGATCTATAGGCTGTTTGGTTTATACAAAAGAAATAAAAAGGGCACTTACTTGCAACGATTCAACCGTGTGGGGGATGCTCCCGTCCGCCGATCCCTCTCCTATTCTTTTTATTTTAGCCACAAGTGGATCTGCAGCTTATGTTTGAGCAGCAAATGATCTCTCCAAGTAAGGCCAAAGATAAAGCAAATAAGTCCTTCAGTTTTCTGCTGAGAGGAGCTGAAGAAAAGACCTTCTGTCATACTTTTCCTCGTGAGAGATATCGGCTATAATCTTGGCTACACTCTGGTTCCTCGATTGTCTGCCACTGCTGACCACTGCAGGAGACTAAAGCCTATATGGAGAGATATTGACCTAACTGCACACACGCTAAATTAGTTTTGAGGATGCTACTCAAAATCCACTGTACTGTACCCGAGCAGAGCGTGGGCTTTTAAACCTCTGCGTCAAAGGTAGGATTGCATTGTTTCCCTCAGAGGAGTCACTTAGGGCTATGGGGAAATAAGAACTCCCCATTGATTACACAGCATCAGACTAAAATAATAGAAGGATTATGCACAGTTCTTTGTGAGAGCTTTTAAGTAAATATTTGGGGAATTTCTTTGAGATCAAGCAGCTTTCACTGCCCACTCCATAAACCACTGCAACTGCACGAGACAATGGAGCTAGTCTGTTTGCAGACGGTTGGTTTGTTATTCCCCTTTGAAAGATAATGGCACTGAGAATGGAACGATAACAGAGAAAAGACCAATTTCCATCATTGCTGACTTCTTTCGGTTTAATCCAATTGAATTGTCTTTATCGGTCCGTGAGGGGAATTTTGCTTGCAGAAAATAAACATGCATAACGAATCACCTCTTCCTCGAATATTTGATAGCGCAAGATATGGAGCAAAATTGCACAAAGCATTTCAAACAATTCCATGTTTTTTTCACAGCTATATGAGGTGTTGCCATGAAACATGCTAGAAAGTTCTGCAAATTGTAATTATTTGTATTTATGTGCATGCCTTTTTGTTTTATAATGTTCTATTGTTTTCGTCTCTTTGCTGTAACAATGTCATTTCCCCTATGTGGGACGAATAAAGGAATTCTGAAGTTACTGTGACTGTTTCTGAAGCACAATGTGGAGCGCTCATCAAAGGAAGCACACCACGCACCGTTTACTGCGGCACTTTAAGGAGATTTCCTCTTTGCCCACTAACGTCCCACTCTCAGCTCGGTGCCCTTTCTGTGTTTCTACACGTTACTTCCAAAATACACCGTCAGTGCTCATCTGCTACCCAGAGGGACATTGATATCAGGTCAGTGAGTTTGGGCAGCCATTGAAAGACTTTAACAACTCTCCAATGCCCTTTGCCGGAGAAATTATGCATGAACTTCCTCCAAATGACATCATGAGTGTTAGGCACTAACCAGAGACCTGTTGAATCGGGGAGAATGAGAGAGAGTAAAGTGTTTTTCCTTCATCATGACCAAACCCATGATTAGTTTTTTTCTTACATCTCATTGCAGTTGAGCAAACTTTGTTGCAAAGTGTTTTATTTCAGAGGTCAAGCATGACTATTTTTATTTTGATGGCATTTTCCAGTTTTCTGAAGCTGAAGCAAAACAAAAGCAAATCAGTGTGAGATATATATTTTATGAGACTGTGGAAAAAAAAGGAGCATTTTGCTTTTTAGTTATACTAAATATACTTAAAGAAGAACAATTATGTATTTTTCCAAAGCTATCTGTCCTTTTTTGACAGTCTTGCAATGACGAAGACCAAGCAAATTGGTTTGAAGCCAAAGAAAAGAGAAAGAGACTTTTGGTTTTACTTTGTCACTTTCCAAGTTTAAAATTGTTTTATTGTATTTATTGTAGCTGCACAAAAAAACACCGGGTTGATTGATTGCCTTTTTAGATAATTAAGAACATCGATTTAACATTGAGTGACTGTTGGTGACGTTTTTCTTCAGAAAAAGGAAAACAATTGTGTTAATACACAAAACATCAATAAAATAAAAGGTAGTCATAATAAAAAAATGCTTTTTTACTTAGATGTTTTAATTACCCTTTCCAAGCCTTTTTCAAATCTGTATCCAATAATCCTTGTAGGTTCAGTCCAATACATGACTTATCATCTGCAACCAAAAGCATTCATCAAATGTGATTAAAACATAAAAAGAGAAATAAATCCATAATACATGATGTGTGATGTTGCTAAACATGATTAAACTTCACTTGTAATTTGCATATTATACTCGCTAAAACTTCTCACTGGAAAAGTGGTTATTTTGAGAATGCTGCTGTTAACAGCTTGCATAATGCATGGAGGAGAGAAAGGGCTCTTTAAACCTCATTTTAACTCGACAGCGGCCTGTCACCAAATATCTATTTTGTGCTTGCAGTTGTTTCAGTGATGTGGGGGATGCTATGTAGGAGGCGTGAAAACAAAAGAAAATACTACAGCGTGCCTTATTTGCTTCTTTCTTTATAAAAGATAAATCATCCTGCTGTCTGGTGGGAAAACATCTAAGAAAAAGCAAGTTTCTTCTTCTTTTACGTCATCCTTTCTAAGATTAGCTCCTATTTCTCATATCTGGTATGAGCCTCCTCTCAGGCAGGTGATGTGGTGACTCATAATGAAGTATATGAGAGCCATTAGTCTGAGCTGTGTGAATAAAAGGAGGCTGGAGGCCTTGTAGAGGTGGACAGCTCTGTCTCAATATAAACCTGGACCCTCTAAACTGAAAGATGTTCACTTACAGCTTAACCCGAGCACGAGGAGCTACTGGAGGTAGAAACCTTCAGGGGGTTATTAGAGAAGCTTGACTGAAGTTTCTTTCGTCACAACACCTGTCCCAGGCACTTTTGCACCTCTGAGGTTTAGTACACACACTGAGCATGGGGCAGCTGGTTCTTTCCATTAGCCTTCTTATAAATCTGGTGCTTCAGTTGGATGGCGTTGAAGCTCCTCTGGCTGGATGTGGTCCAGATGCTCGGCCCTGCTGCTGCTCTTGGTTTCCCTCCAGCGATATGAGCTTTCCCAAGCCAACCTTGGTGGAGTCCGCAGAGCTTCCGTTGCTACTCGGGCACCGGGAGGAGCTTCGGGATGCCCGCTGCCGGAGGTTCTGAGAAATAGAGCGATGGAGGTTCTTCATGGAGGAACTGGCTGCCATGGTGGACACCCAGGGGTGACGGAGAGCTTGGTCTGCGCTCAGTCGAGAAGCGGGGTCCAACGGCAGCAGGCGATGGATAAAGTCCTTGGCTAGGTTGGACACTGAGGGCCAAGGCTGTGGAAAAAGGAAAGAGAGTGATTTCCGTTAGTGTGAATATGTGCACTCGCACCACATTTCAACCTACGCACAGACACTCAGGAACCTGCTGTCCTGTAAAAGCGCCTGCTGGGTTTCATTCTAACACAAAAATTAAAACTATGATGCCTGTGCCGTGCAGACCAGGCCCGGTTCCAGAACAAAATGACTCGGGGTGCATCTGAGATTAGAGAGGGTGCAGGGGTAAAGTGCTATTTTTATAAGTGGGGAGTGGACCTAACACCCTCTAGGGGGGTCCTCACCTCCTCTAGGAGGGTCCTCACCTCCTCTAGGGGGTCCATGCTCCCCCGGAAGATTTATTTTAAAATATTGAAGTTAAAAGCATTAATCTGGTGCACTTTGAGAGCAACATTAAGAGATCTATGGATCTATGTGCTCTTTGCTTGATTCATGCCTTCCCAGTCCCTTATCAAGTAGCCTATAAGAGCATGACGCCAGTTGTTGTAGCCAGTTGTGGTGAAGGCATCTGACTTACTTGAACCGAAATGTCCACATGCATAGCAGAAGATGGCATCTTTTTTACATGAATATTCCAGCCAATCTCTGTTTTGAAACCATGAGCTGCAAAATGAGCGCCTCACTCCACTGTACAGGCGAGTTGGGTGCTTTTTTAAATATACCTGGGCAGGCTCTGTTTTGCCAAGGTCCTCTGGCACTTGCGGGCCGCTGAGGGGTGGCGGCGTTTGGGGCAACGAAGACGGCTGCGGCTGCTCCGCCTCCGTGGGCGAGGCGGGCAAAGCCGGCGAGTCGGGCGTTAGTGTCCACGACAGTGGCCGCGGGTAACGTGATGTCCCCATGATCTGAACTGTTATTACCTGCAGTAGATGCAGTGTTACTGCTGGCTATAAGAGCTGTTTTTTTTATGTCCATCATTGACTGCTGTGTAAGCACCTTGCAGATGACGAACGCGCAGCGGCACAGGTCACGCACACCTGACATAATAACGTTACTTACCGTTTAAATTGACCAAATAAATGCAGCAGACAATGTTATTTAACCACAATTACAATGTATTTAATTTCAACTAAATTCTTCTTCTTATTATTACTACTACTATTATTATATATGTAATATCTTTCACTTTTCCCCCCCTTTTTTTTTTTTTTACTTTTCAAATGAGGGTGCATAACGACTCAACTGAGGGTGCAATGCACCCTTATGCACCCCCGTAGAACCGGGCCTGGTGCAGACCCAACAAGCAGAGCTAACCTCAAAGGAAAGCTGAATGTCACTGGTCAAAGGGAAGCAGCAGTGTTGGCTGAAATAATTTGAAGCCTGGGAAATAAGGACAGCCCTGCCATATGTGTGGGATTTGGGCACATGTTTATTCTAAGCCTGCATTAGCTTCTTAATAAAGGCACCACAGATGAGCCTCGCTGGGTTCTTTTGCTGTTTGTTTACTCAAATAGCAAATCATTCCCCTTGTCATGAAGAAAGCTGACATTCAAGCATGCTTTGAAATCTGCCATGCCATCTTTCCAGCGAGACAGAAGGCATCAGGATTATTATCATAAATCACAATTTTTTCATTATTCATCATGACTTTGGTTCTCTGTCATGAAAACTCAATTGTGGAGGCCTGCCACAGGAAGTGATGACCTTTGAGCTTCTGTCCTATTTTAAATTAAAGAAGAACAGATGGATATTTGGCCACAACACCATGGATTGATTACTACACATGCCTCAAAGGCTCAGGGGCTAAAAGGGTCAGATGCCCCCTGGCCTTCACCACAAAACAGGATGTCACTCAAAGAGACACATTCCAAACAGTAAAAGACTAAAAGTAACCTCAAAGATGTCAAAGAAACTGAGAAAGACCAACAACAATTATAAAAACACAGAGAATGAATTGGTCAAAGTGAAAAACAACCCAAAAGAGACACAAAATGAACACAAGAGACACAAATCAATTAAAAAAAAACATACAAAACAAGTTGGCAAAATACAACTATGTGTAAACAGTTAATACAAAAGACAAAAATAATTGAATTACAACATCGCCCAGATTAACTACAACAAGACTTGTGATGACAATAAAAACAGAACAGACCCAAACAGCCACAAAGCAACTATAAAAAAAGGAGACAAAAATGACCACAAAGAGGAAAATATGTTAAGTAACAGATGCAAATAGATCACAAAGAAACACAAAATAACTACAAATACTAACAGAATATTTAGAAAGTAATGTAAAATAACAACAATGAGACTCAAAACCCCAGAAAGATACAACCAAGAGAAGAAAACACAACAACAAAGAGGCCAAACTTCTATCAAGTATGTGTGTTTTGCTCATGTGTCTTTCCGATTGTTTTACACAACAACCTTTATCAAAAAGCATGGATGACTTCCTCTTCATGATGTTTCTGTAAATGTCAGGTAATTATCAGACTTATCGCTGTATCAGTTGTCTTTAACATGAACAAATGTTTCCACCAATCAGCCGTGTTATGCTCCACTGTGTCTGTCTGAGGAGGATAAAAGCTAAATACAGTAAAACCTGCGTGTGCAGAATTCTCTCATTCTTCGCTCAACCTGGCACAGACTAAATCGCTCTCTTTAGGGAGGTCTCGCTCTCCATTTTAATCCTGAAATGCATTTCTCTCCCCCTTTTTTGTCTCTCGCCGAGTAATGACAATTAATCAAGCATGAAATTGACAATCGCAGGACTGAGAGGAATTCAAAGAAGCAGGGACTCGCTTATTCTCACGGTGCACTGACTGGAGAGGAGTGTGTGTGCGAGCAGAGCGCAGAGCGCGGAGCTGAAATGCTTCTCACTCAAACTTTCTTCTCATTGTGTTGTTATTTCACACCTGAGAGGCAGGCAGAGTGACACTCGGCAGCCTGGGAAGGAGAGAAAGTGTCTGATTGAGCTCCCACGACCAACAAGTCTGACTTCCCTCCTTCTCCAGTGCTGTTGGTGATTTCATGTCGCTCTTTATCTGCTGTGAAAAACACATGTGATGGCAGCCGGGGCTAACCGGTGCCTTCTGTTCGAGACGGGGTGGAATGTAACCAATAGTTATTTTGCCATTTTTGTGCTTTACTTGAGTTATTCTTATGCTACTTCATACTTTTACTCCACTATATTTGAGAGGTAAACATGGTTCTCTTTACTCCACTACATGTTATATCAGATACTAGTCACTTTTTATACATGAAAAGAAATGATATGTTAGTCCACTCTGTAAGTCTCATGAATTGGCTCCCTGTTGAAAAACTGCAACATGCTTTTAAATGTATTTGCAGGTGAGAAAAAAACAGGAAAATACAATAACTATAGTAATATATTACTCTAAAAAAGAGCAATTCTGCAGAATGACTATACTTTTGATACTTTAAAGGTGGGGTAGGTAATTTTGGAGAAACCAGCTCGAGTGCGCTAGAATTTGAAAATACACAGCCGGAACAAATCTGCCACTTCCTTACAGAGCCCCTCCTCCAACACACACGACCGCGCACATGACCAATGAGGGCACGAGATACAGTTGTGCACAGATGGAAGGCTGACAGGCAGGTAGGCCATCCAGTTATTTTAGCTGGGCTGGCTAAAATGATTGGTCGTGCTTTTTACAGTACTACGGCTTCCACAGATTAAATGTTGTTATGGATTTTTTGTCAAAGCACTTAAGATATTCATTGCTATCGGGATGTTAAGAGCATTCCATGGAATATAACAAAAAGTGTATCTCGAGCTGGTTTCTCAAACTTACCTACCCCACCTTTAAGTAGCCTACTAAAAGTAAGGCAAGGCAAGGCAAGGCAAGTTTATTTATATAGCACTTTTCAACACAAGGCAATTCAAAGTGCTTTACAAAAAATGAAAGAGATTAAGAAAATGGCATTTAAAATCAGTCATTAAAAAGAAAAGCTAATAAAATAAACATTAAAAGAAAAAAATACATGGCAGTCAATTAAACATTAAAAGAAAAAAAGTACATGGATAAATGTTACAGTGCAGTCTAAGATATGAATAGTTCAATTAAAAGCAGCGACAAAAAGAAAAGTCTTCAGCCTGGATTTAAAAGTATTCAGAGTTGCAGCAGACCTGCAGGTTTCTGGGAGTTTGTTCCAGATATTTGGAGCATAATAACTGAACGCTGCTTCTCCATGTTTAGTTCTGACTCTGGGGACAGAAAGCTGACCAGTCCCTGAAGACCTGAGAGATCTGGATGGTTCATCATTTAGCAGGAGGTCAGAAATATATTTTGGGCCTAAACCATTCAGTGCTTTATAAACCAGCAGCAGTATTTTTGAAATCTATTCTTTGACACACAGGAAGCCAGTGTAAAGACTTCAGAACTGGAGTGATGTGATCCACTTTCTTAGTGTTAGTGAGGACTCGAGCAGCAGCGTTCTGAATCAGCTGCAGCTTCCTAATAGATTTTTTAGTGAGACCTGTGAAGACACCATTGCAGTAGTCGAGTCTACTGAAGATAAAAGCATGGACAAGTTTTTCCAAATCCTGCTGTGACATTAGTCTTTTAATCCTAGATATATTCTTTAGGTGATAGTAGGCTGATTTAGTAACAGTTTTAATGTGACTGTTGAAACTCAGGTCAGAGTCCATGACTACACCTAGATTTCTGGCTTTATCTGTTGTTTTGAACATTGCACAGTAGTAGAAAATACTTTATGTTAAGGGTTAGGGTCACTGGGATTCTAGCATTTGCAGACCATGTTGTACATAAATAAACCATAACACTACAGGAAAGAGAAAATAAAGCATAAAAGGGCCTCTTAAATTAGAAATGGAAGTAATATGAAATCCCTTTTTATACTTTAAGTATATCTTGATACTAATATTTTGTATTATTACTTTGTTTTAACCAATATTATTTCTACTGAGTACTTATTCCCCCTCTGCTGGAAGATGGTGAAGCATTTACTCAGTGGGAATAATGCGGGAAAAAACAAGTTTACTCTCCTCCTGCTTTCAACATGGTGCACCTAAAGGA